TAATAACTAGCAAGGGTCACCCTCAACTCGCTATCATCTATATGAAGCATTTCAAAGGTCTTCACGGTTTGTTCTAACCATTCGTCTGCTTTCTTTGGATCGGGGCCGCCATGGAATTCATCCGGCTTAGCCCTTAAAAACTCCCTCGTGAGGAAGTTGGCTCTAGTCTCTGCAACATTCTCCCTTGCTTGGGTCTCCGCGCTCAAAATGTTCATGGACTCCCTCAATGCCCCAGCCATCTCATGGGCTAGAGCCCCCATTGCGGTTTGGCCGACTTGCCCCGGCACCTCCACTTGCCCTACTTGTTCAGCCATGTCAGCTTGGCCTAAACCCTCTTCTTGTACCGGAACCTCTTGGACCGGCACCTCAAATACACCCCGGCGACCTCGACCTCGCCTTCCACCCCTACCTCCTCGAGTTCGAACTCTTCCGGACATCCTAATTGAGAGACAAGATAAATAATTTAGCACATAATTCCAAATGTGCTTGCCACTCGCTTCACACGTTAGGCTAAGCAACTACATGCATCCTACTACACAAACAATTTAATTCACTCCACATAAGCACTTAGTCACATAAGCACATACGAATTATCCTTTATTGAAGAGATTCGTCCCATGAGAAACCAAGAATTCTTAGTAGAATGAGTATTGATCAAGTACCCTTCTAATAAGACTCAATGAAACTAATAGGCGCAAATAACATCCCAAAAGTCTAATCCTATACCCACATAGTCACATAAGCATGCTATCACGTAATCACAAAAACAAAGCGTTTCCTAATCATGCGAAATGAACCCATTGTGGTAAGACAACCACTTCTCGCGAGCCCCAAGTATTCAAATCCGGTAGCTCTGATACCAAGTTGTAACGCCCCAAAATAATCCCAACGTGGATGTATGTGGCTGATGTATCATTCATGTTGGGATTATTTCGGGGCATTACATAGCTCGAGTGTGAAATACAAACTCTTAGTAGTTTTACAAATAGAAGGCCAACGTTCGAGTGCAATAAGGGCCGTTCGAGGGCAAGAAGCTTCGCTCGAGCAAAGAATACCAACTCCCAATAGTTTTGCAAACCTGCAAAAGTACTGAGAGTTCACAAAGACCGCTTGAGTGTAAGAAGTGACGCTCGAGCGTGGAAGTAAAATTCTGGGCAACAAGGATTTTGAAAAAGAAGATATCAACTTGTTCCAAACGCAACCAACACAACCCAAAAGCCAAACTCAAAGAGGTATAAGGGAAATAAGACATAAATGATTATAAAAGGCAATGAAACTTGGATCCAAAACATCAAATGGTTTGTGTCCAAACCAGAATCGCTATAGACGCTGCAAACTTAGATGTGGGAGGGGAAACCCTAAAAGATAACAAAAGAGACCTTTTATAGCAGTCTGGGTCACACAGACCACTCGAGCGAAGGAATGGTCATGTGAGCGGTGTGTCTAGTAAGCGGCGTGCATATGTGACTTCGATCGAGCCATCGAAAGTGTACTCGAGCGAAGAATGTGAGCTTTCAGTAATGTTGCAGACTGAAACACTGAGGATAAGGATTATTCACTCGAGCGACTAGTTTATCGCTCGAGCGGTCCAAGAACAAACAGAGGACAAAATTTACAAATGAAAAGTGTCTGTTCGTGGAATTGACAACACAAGGGACCTAACAATCTCTCCCTTTGTCAATTCCTGGACAAAACACATCTAACGTTTAGTCCTACAAAACTCACGCTCTAGACACAATCAACAACTTAACCATTCGAAAAACGCTGTGTGAAGAGAACCACCTGCAAAGAGCACAAAAAGCACAAACACTAGAATGGAAAGATAGATGATTAGTAACAAGATAAAATCCAGAATCAAAACCCAAAAGCACAAGCATGCATGCTATCATACCATCATCACCATCATACTTCCCCTTTTTGACTGGGAGAGACAAAGGGACAAAATAGAAAACCAAAGATACCGAAATGATCCATAGAAAAACTACATAATCCCAATATATCGACTAACAATGCCAAAGATTACCAACATGGGACAGATAATAGACCATCAACAAAATTGTGCCCAAGAGATGATAGAAAAGAAAAGAAAAAATTGTCCAAAAAGAATAAAATAAAATAAAATAAAAATTTCCAAGACAAATAGATAAAGACAACATCACTAATATGGCGGAGATGGAGGAGGCTGCTGCTGCATCTGAAGTAGGGACAGGATTTGAGCCAACTAAAGAGAGGACTGGTCCACGACATGCTCAATTCGCCTAGTAGAAGCCTCCAAAGCAATGAGATGTGCATAGGTGGATGTCTCTAAGTCCCTGATGCGAGCATCATAAATGTTTATCCGAGTGTCCAAACGATTAAAACGGGCACTAATGGCCCGTGCCACCTGGAAGAGATAGTTCGAGCACGAGCAGGCTGTTCCCTCTCGCCAGCTACTGCAGCATCAATCTTAGCATCCTCATCCATCTGATTCACTCCGGCACTTGAAACACCGACACCGGATGACTCCCTCTTAACACGGGCTTGGCTCTGGGAAACCATCTTTTTGGTGATGGGTTTGATAGGACAAGAAAACTCATCATCAGAGGAGAAAGGGACACCAAGAGGGGTAAGAAGCCGGTTTAAAAGACAACCGTAGGGAAGACCTGATGACTTCTTACCCTCAAACACCGAAATCATTTTGGAAACAATCATTTCAGGAACATTGATGGAAAGACTGTGGTCGATGCAGTAAAGAACATATCTTTGATCTTGGGAAATGTTGGAACAATGTGCTACCAATCTCTATAATTATTTTTATTTTTTTGGGAAAATAAAAAAAAAAAAAGAAAAAAAAATCCAAAATTTTAGTCTTGCAACAAAATAAATCTTGAGTTTTTAATTTTGTCAATTTAAATTCTAAACTTTTGATTTATTTTTAATTTAAACCATTTTCTTATCTTCTTTAAGTAAAACAGATTAAAAGAAGAGAGAGAACATTTTAGTTATTAAACTCAATAATAAAAGTATTGTAGACATTTTATATATACATATATTGAGTTCAATAATTATAAAATTATTTTTTTTATTTGTTTTATTTAATGAAAATAGACGAATGATTTATATTGAAAATAAATCAAAGTATTACGGTTTAAATTAACAAAATTAAAAATTATTTTTTTACAAAGTTAAAACTTTTGGTTTATTTATTTTTAATTTCCCTTTAGTTTTTTATTTTTATTTTTTTATATAAATGTTATATTCGGTGAAAATTACAACAAGATGAATAGTTTACCCAAAATGAACCCACGGAAGCGTGACATCACCTCTCCTGTTGTATGAAAAATGATTGAGTGCTCCCACTAATTAGGTGGCAGTGGGTCCCGCCATTAATGATGTGATGTTTTAGTCTTGGAGTTATATTATTTTTTTTTTTTTAAACTTTTTTAATGCATTAGTGCTATCAGTGGTAGTGTTTTTAGTGAGATGAATCATTGTTGCCTGTTGTATTCATCCAATCGGATTATTCTTAGGTAAATATATTACCAAATGCTTCCACTTATGTTTTTGGCTCAAATTAGATTGCGGGCTTATCTCAGTAGTTTTTGCTGTTGCAGACAAATAGATTTTTTGCAAGCTTATTCTAGAGTCATGTTTTTATGAATTAAATTTACAAATATTTTAAGATTGTGTTTGGATGACAAATTTAGATAAGAATTTAAAAAGAAAATAGAAAAAAGATAAGTGAAATATATGCTAATTTTTTTTCCTTTCCAAATCACCATTTAAATCTATAATTCAAATACAACGCAAGAACTTGTTTGGATATAAATGAATTTTAAGCCAGAGATTTGACCTCAATCATTCAAGAACAATAACTCAAATTTAAATATAATAGTTTATTAATAAATTTCATGATTGCGTTAAGTACTTAAATCTTGATGAATTTTAAATCATCATATAAAACTATTAATTCAAATCGGGAAGTTATTGGTGAGCACCGAATAATTTTCTATTGAAATCGTGAGAAGGATTCTATTTCTTAATATAAACAACCTACTAAAATGTATATATGTCCTCTCTTAACCTATCTTCTTCCTTTCTATATATTTAACCACCAATCCCTTGATTTAAAATATACAATTATCCAAACTGGTCCTAAAGTTGTGGTGGAATCATAAATTTGAATAAGAACTTATATAGGGGAAAAAAAAAAAAATCATATTCCATTCACATTTTCTTTACCTTCTCTTTTCTTTTTCAAATTTCTAGCCAAATTCATGAATTAACCACATCATTAATAAAAAAATAAGTTTCGTCGACTTTGAATCTTTAATTTTCATTTTATTCTTAGACATAATGTACATGTTCTATAAGTATAATATTTTCTCAACCCCAAGGGTTTGGCCTAGTGAGTGCAACTTAGGACCTAGGGTGTGCTCCCTCTAGGTCTTAGGTTCAATTTTTATTCAGAGTAATCCACTCCTCAAAACTATGCTTGCGGGCTCTGCCCAATCCACGTGGTGGGGGTGGTTTGCGTGAATTCCGAGATTAGTCAAAATATATATATATATATATATAATATTTTCTCACTTTCACCTTTATATTATTATTATTTTTCACTTTGTAGTTCAATTTAGTGGCACATATCATTTTCTGTTAAAGTATTTTACAGCAACCACATTAACTAAAAACAATCGTTTAAGTACTAAATTGAATGCAAAGTATTGTAGATGCAGAGCGTAATTTATATCATTTTTCTTTTTCTTGTCTCTCTTAGTTGCAGATAAAGGGAGCTTCAATCTTCTCAAATTTGAATCTCAGGCGTGATGGTTGACATATTGACTTCAGAAGTTGAAAGATAAGAAACTTGACATTTACCACGACTCTTGACTGGTTTCTGTTGCAATATGTACATTGTTTCTATTGTTAGCATTTGCTTTGAACCTCTCTTTTCTACCACATCCTTCTACTTTCCAAAAAATAAAGACTCATGAAGAGATAAGAAAAAGAGTGAATTGAAAATGTGTAGTCCCCAAATCATACTGGATAAGATTGTAGAAAAAATTGTTAATTCAGTGATCCAATCGGTGGTGTGTCACATCCGTTTTGTTTGCTGCTACAAAGGAAACCTGGAGAAGTTGGATGCTGAAAAGAAAAACCTGGAAGAACAGCGGCAAAAAGTCAATGACGAAGTTGATAGATACAAGACCCTTGGTGAAGACATCGAGGCTAATGTTTCAAACTGGCAAACAGAGGCGGACAATATGATAAACGAAGTTGAAGAATTTTTGAACAACAATACAGATAAGGAAAGCATGCAATGCTTTAAATTTTCATGTCCCGACTACATCTCACGCTACAAATTGAGCAAGCAAGCAGAAAGGAAGATTGTTGATATCAAAAATCTCACTCAAAAAGGAAAATTTGACAAAGTTTCACATCGTAAACCACCTCCTCAGAAACTTTTATTCCCATCCAGTGCTGATTTTGTAAGTTTGGATTATATGAGTTTCAATTCCAGAGAATCGGTTTTCAAGAGGATCATGGATGCATTAAATGATTCCAAGGTTTACAAGATTGGGGTACATGGACTAGGGGGGGTAGGTAAGACAAAAATGGTTGAAGAGGTTGGCAAACAAGTGAAAAAAGATGGACTTTTTGATGAAGTTGTGATGGCAGTTGTCTCTCAAGATGCAAATGTGAGAAAAATCCAATTGCAGTTGGTTGGGGGTTTGAATCCAAAACCTCATGTAGCGACAATTACTGATGAACATGAGAGAGCAAAAGAATTGTGGCTTAGATTGGACAATGGGAAGAAAAATCTAATAATATTGGATGATATTTGGCATGAACTAAGCTTGGACACAATAGGTATTCCTCTCACAGGTACGAACAAAGTTGTGATAACGTCACGAAATCAAGATGTGTGGAAAAATATGGAAATGGATACACAAATTCAGATCAAAGTACTATCAGAGCCAGAAGCATGGGCCCTATTCAAGAACAAGGTGGGAGATTCTGTTGATTCTGATCAAGAACTACATGATATAGCAAAAAAGGTGTGTAAAGAGAGTCAAGGTTTGCCGGTTGCTATACTTGTAGTTGGAGGTGCATTAAAAGGTAAGCAGAAGTACGTTTGGAAAAACGCACTTGAGAAGTTGAAAAAGTCTATGCTAAAGAAAATTGACGGAATTGACCCAAAGTTGTATTACTCCTTGAAGTTGAGCTATGATCAATTATCCATGGATGCAAAATCATGCTTCTTGCTCTGTTGTATGTTTCCTGAAGATGCCGAGATTCCAATTGATGAATTGGTGAGACATTGCATGGCGAGAAGGTTGCTTGTTGAAAAGCAAGATTCACTCGAAAAAGCAAGAGATGCAGTGCTTACAGTATTCGATACACTCAAAACTTGTTCTTTGTTGTTAGATGACACAGACAAAAACGTTGTAAAAATGCATGATGTCATTCGAGATGTTGCTGTTTCAATTGCTGATGATGAAAAGGCAATTCTTGTAAAACATGGTGTTCATGAGTGGCCGGAAGAAGGTACGTATGAATCTTACTTGGCAATCTCATTATGGTCCGAAACTGTTCATGAGGTTCTCAATAAATTGGGATGTTCACAACTCCACACCTTATTGTTGGAATGTATTGATCCCTTGGTTATTATTCCAGACACGTTTTTCGATGGGATGGAGAAACTTACAGTTTTAGAATTGAGTGAAGTACGTATGTTGCAACTCCCACCATCACTTGCAAATTTGGTTAACCTTCGGATGTTATGTCTAAATAAATGCCAGTTGGAAGACATAACTATACTCAAGGATCTAAAGAACAACCTTGAAGTACTTAGCCTTCGGGGTTCTGATATCAAGGCCTTACCATCAGAGATTGGACAATTGACTCAACTTCGGTTGTTAGATTTGAGAAATTGTAAAAAGCTCTCAAAGATTCCACAAGGCGTCATATCCAATTTATCTCGCCTGGAAGAATTGCATATTTTAGATAATCTTTGGCCATGGGAGGCCACAAGAGGCAACAAGGAAGGAAGCAAAGTGAATCTTGAGGAGTTGAGGAAATTGACGCAATTAACCACTTTACATATACACATACCAGATGCCATGTTACTGCCTAAAGACATCTGCTTTGAAAACTTGATCAGATTTATAATATCAATGGGTGAAAGGTTTGGTAATTTGGAAGATCAGTCATCAACAAGGATGTTTAAACTTGTAGGCGTTCCCTTCAGGGATGAGTTTAATGTTTTGTTGGAGAGAGCTGAAGTGCTTCATTTGGAAAAAGTGGAAGGTTTACAGAAGGTGTATCCCGGACTATATCCATCAGGGTCCTTCAATAAATTAACTGTATTAACAATTAAAGATTGTAAGTTGAAATATCTCTTCTCCCCATCAATCGCAAGAGGACTTCTGCAAATTCAACGACTAGTAATAAGAGATTGTGAGGTCATGGAAGGAATTGTTGGAAATGAAGGAGAAAAAAATGAAGAGGCAGTCACAAGTGAGGCAATTAATTTTAGTCAATTGAAATATATGGAGTTGCAAAATCTACCCAGCCTCGTAAGCTTCTACCCCAAAATGGAGAAGACGTCGACCGCTAAGGAAAATTCATCTACCCAAGCACACTGTCTCTTTAATGAAAAGGTATGTTTCGTCAATAACATTTTTATGTGCTTTGAATCTTATTTGAAAATGTTTTATGTATTAGGGAATATAGTAATATAGTGAATCTTATCCCTCCAAACTTTTATGTGATTTGGTATCCTCCTGCCACATAAGACTTTTCATTCATTATTTTATTTATTTATTTATTTTTCTGGGTAAGAAGACTCAAATTAAGGTCTTTTAAATAAAATCCAAATCATTTGGGGAAATACGCATCTTGAAAGGGATGTATGGCATGCATACATAGTTATGCTATTTTTTTTTTCTTTAGTTGTGACTAATTTTCTTTTTTAGTTATCACGTTATTTTAGTTGTGACTCATGAGATCTTTAATTATGTTTCATATAGTGTTCAGTTATGATTTTTTTTTAAATTTTAATTATGACTCAAAAGTATGGAGTTATACCATTTTATTATTTAGTTATAAAATGCATATGGTACACACCTTTTGAAGAGTGTGTACCATAGTCTTTCCCAATTATTCGTCCCAAAAAATATCACCAAAGCTCCTGTCACCAAATTATACCTAAGAAATGTGTCGATCTTGATTAACATGAGAACCCAATTAGTAGAGTATGTTTGGCATGTATCTAAGTTAATGTGATTAGTGCCATGTAAAATATCACATGAGATATTATTCAAGTGTGGTCATTCTAATAGTAGTCATTTAACATGTGGCTCATTTGATAAGCTTTGTAGGTATCCAAATATTAGCCAATTACAAATTATCATGTGTTATAAAAATCTAAAAAATATGACAAAAGTATTGTCAAATCAAATATTGTCACGTGTCTAATACTCATTTTTATTGACACATATAAATAACAGTGATCTCCGGAAAACATTTACACACAATTCTGTACACAAATCCAGTTGAAAGAAAGATTCATCGGACTGAATCTAGAAAGTCTAGAAGAACTTTCCTTGCATAAGCTTTTGATTTCAAGGCAATTATTCGTGTCGAAACTCTATCAATCTCTATCACACTCAAAGCTTAGAAATTCAAGTCAAAGTTTTTGTGAATCTCTATAAAATTATTGTATTCTTCTACTAAATTGGAGAAGGTTTTGCAATTTGATTTGGAAACAACTGTCCTTATTTTTATCACATTTTTTCCCCATTTTGATAGCTTTGTATTTAATTTATTTGTCGATTTTAAGCCATAATTTGAAATAAATAATACATTTTTTTTTGAGATCGTCAAAAAAAAAAAAAAAATTAAAAGTTCTATGTTCACCATTGTTTTCTCTCATTTTGTACTTTTAATCTACAGAACCCAACAATTTTGAGAAAGGGTGAATTTATAGTGGGTTGAAATTTTCTTAATATGTTGATGATTTGCTGTCAAAACAATCAAACCAACTCATGCACAGCACCTATTGCACAATAACGACAAAAGGTTGCACTAATGCCACAAAGATTTATTACTTCCAAGCTATTATAGTTTCCATTACATGAAACAAAATAATTAATTGTTATGGAATCAACCATTTAAGTTTTGGCATTAATTGGAACATGGTAAAATCAATTTATTGGACTTAAATGATTGACTAATTATGACTAACGTCAATTTATTGGGCTCTATTGTACTGCTTGTTATAAGGCTGACCTTGGAGTCTAATGTTTAACAATTATGCTATGAATGTTGCAGGTTACGTTCCCTGCCTTGGAGCGATTTTGTATTTACGGACTACCAAAGCTGACAGAGATATGGGACAGGAAATTACCTCCATCAGAGTCCTTTAAAGAATTGCGGGACGTGAGCATCTGGAGCTGTGAGAAACTGGTGAATGTCGGTTTGTCCAATATGCCCCGACAATTACTGAAACTAAGAAAACTTCTTGTAGCATATTGTCAAGAGCTGAAAGTAGTAGTATTGGAGAATGGGGAAGAAAATGAAAAGGCAGAAAATAACACTAATACCATCTTGTTCCCTCAACTAACGGGATTGAGTCTAATACATTTGGAGAGCCTCAAAAGCTTTTGCACCTCTAGATCTGAAAGACAATCCCTTTTCACTAGCCAGGTATGAATGTTCTCATCCTTTTTTGTTGCACATGACCAGTAAAACCAGAAACACAAATGTATATACACATATATGTATATGTATGCTTGTTTGTATGTATTTTACTTAGATTAGGCTTCCCTCCTGCCTATAATCTAGATTCAAATGTGTTGTTTGGGCCCGTGGGCCCACTATGAGTCTCATTTCAATTATTTGGACCGTACATTTTTTAGGATTCTTCGTTTATATCATCCGCAAAAAAATTAAATCAATTCGATAATTTTAGCCTTTTCAATTTATCGTGTTTGTCATTAAAAAAATGGATTTTTTTTTAAAAACACACTTATCATTCCTTTTCTTGGATACAATTGTAATAAATTAAATAGGCTATGATTATTGAATCAATTTTTTTTTTTTATAGATGATATACATGAAGGACTTTATGAAAATAAAAAATTTAAATCATCAAAGCGTGACATGGGGTGGACCTCCACGACCCAAAAGGCACCCCCATTGGCCATGTATTGGTAATGTCTATTTATTTTGAATCTTTCATATTTTCCAATTTAATAATACTTTGACATTTGCTTGAATATTGCTATCTAAAAACTTGAAAAAATAAAATAATAAAAATCAAGGTTTCAGAATTTTCATAAAAAAATTGTACAAATTTTAATTTTATCCCTAAGTTAAGTTGTCATAGTTCATATAATATTTTCCTTTTTTGGGGTGCGTGTAACAAAAATAATGCCACCATTTTATTGGTTTAGGCTGTGTTTGGTTTATAAATTTGAAGAAAATTTAGAAAGAAAAAGGGGAAACGGTATGTAAAATATAGGTGAATTGTAGTTATATTTCATTCACCTTTTACCTAATTTTTCTTTTCTATTTCCAAATTACTTTCAAAATTCATTAACCACAAGAGAAAGAAGTACATGAGAGATAGTCAAAACCCATCGAAAGTACAAAAATATAGAACAACGTATCAAAGAACCAAACAAGACCCTACTAGAACAAACTTAAAACATGATGACCATATTAGTATCCAAAGTAGAAAACGATGAGTGACTTTTGTGGAATGAATGGCTTTTGTGAACACTATCTGCGTGTGGGACCTTCCAACTTTCTTATTTTAATTGCCTTTTGAATCATATTGAATGAATGGACCATACCTTCTGTATGGCCTAAAGTTAGACCTAACATCTCCAAAATACAAACCTGAAACATCTCCAAAAGCGCAACAAAATAAAATAAAAATCACCCTAAAAAAAAAAAAAGTCGTCCCAAGGTCCATCAAAAGTAAAACTTTTACTTACCCAAAAAAAAGTAAAACTTTTACTAAACTTTTACTTACCCAAAAAAAAGTAAAACTTTTACTATCCATGGGTTCCAATACAGAAGAATGAAAAAAGAAATCATATACAAAGGTTAAAATAACTCTCTCCATATATATATATATATTAAAAAAAATATCTTATCTAAAGCCAAAACAAATCAGAATCATCATGATGTCCAAAAGCTCCATACATATAAAGGTTGTAAATCTCATATTAATTGTCAAAATTAGGATTGTAAACGAGTGAGGTCGAATCATATAACAGGTTATTCAAGTTTAATTTGAAAAACTTATTGAGCTTGAAAAAATATATATAAGTTTGTTTTGTTTACCATTTGAACCGAACCCAAATGAGTTTTAATGGAACGGAATTCGAGCAACTAAATTGGTATTTTATTGCCCATTTAAGTTTATAAAACTGAGTTCGAGCTAAACTCAAAATATCAGCGAGTTTCAAAATGTGTTTAGTTTTAACTTATTTATATAATAAGTCATTCTTGAATTGTTTTTTAATGAGCCGAATATAAGTCGAGTTCAAATGATTTGATTTGTTTTACCATCTTAAATTAAATAGATATGCCAACATAATGAATATTAAATTAAATAAGAAATTATCAATATAAAAAATTATCAAGGCACCGTGGTAAATTTTTAAAATAAAATTTTCTGCTTTTTCATAAGTCCAATACTCAAATCTACAACATAATTTGCCTTATCTAAAAAATAACTAATAAGATTATGGAACCCAAATTATTAAAGTCAAATAGAAAAATAATTATGAAAGATGGAAAATAATGTGAAGAGCTGAAATAAAAAAGGTGCTTAGTTAATAATTAAGCAATAGAATAAATATTTCAAAAAGAATATGGTGATATGAAATTATCAATTTGCCTGCCTAATGCTTTTCATTTCCACTCATACATGTTTAAAGCATGCGTTCGAAGACTGTTGCAATTATAAGTTGTTGCTCATCCACAATTTTGTGACAGTCACTAGCTACATGTGTTGTAAATTACTTTACAGGTTGCTTTTCCTGTCTTGGAGGATTTGAATATTGAGAAATTGCCTAACATAATAGAGATATGGGACAAGCAATTACTCATAGCCTCAGAAAAAGAATCAAAGTCCTTCTGCCAACTGAAATATATGAAGGTTTCTAATTGTGAGAAATTGGTACATGTGGTCCAATTCAATATGCTCCCACGACTGCAAAATCTCAAACAATTCAACGTAGATAATTGTTCAAGGATGGAAGCGATAGTCTGGGAGAAAGAAAAAGAAGAAGGAACCACCAGGAATGATATCATCGTGTTCTCCCAATTAACAACTCTTAGTCTTTCTAAGTTGGTGAGCCTTAAAAGTTTCTACAACTGGCCTACAAGATCTAAAGCACAGCCCTTGTTCAACCACCAGGTTTGATTTTCCATTTTTATTTTACTAACCATGGCCGCGGGAAAGCGTGCACACACACAAAAAAATAAAACTCCTTTTCCATGAAAATTTTAAATTTGAAGATTATTTGAATATTCTCTTTCTATCCAAATCCAAACAAAAGTAAAATAATTTCAAAGTGGATATGCTAGGGGCCTACCGATGGAAATTACAATATTAGCCAAACAAAAATATGTATGAATTTTAATACACCATATTTTTAATCTGAATATGAATCTTAATATGATTTTATTTGACTAAAATATATATGAGTTTGTCTTCCTTACCATTTGAGCCGAACCCAAACGAGTTTTAATCGAACAGAGTTCGAGCAACTTGGTATTTTACTGCCCATTTAAGTTTATAGAACTGATTTCGAACTGAACAAAAAAAATCAGCGAATTTCAAAATGTATTCAATTTTAACTTATTTATATAATAAATCATTCTTGAATTCTTTTTTATTGAGCCAAATATGAATCGAGTTCAAATAATTTGATTTGCTTTACCATCTTAACTTAAATAGATATGCTAAGAAAATGAATATTAAATTAAATGAAAAATTATCTAGGCACTGTGGTGAATTTTTGAAATAAAATTTTCTTCTTTTTCATAGGTCTAATAATCTGATCTATAGCATAATTTGCCTTATCTAAAAAATAACTAATAAGATTATGGAACACAAATTATTAAAGGCAAATAGAAAAATAATGGTGAAAGATGGAAAACAATGTGATGAGTTGATGACAAAAAAGTGCTTAGTTAATAATTATGCAATACAATAAATGTTTCAAAAGAATATGACGATATGCAATTATCAATTTGCTTGTCTATGGCTTTTCATTTCTGCTCATACATGATTAAAGCATGCATTTGGAAACTGTTGCAATTTTCAATTGTTGCTTATCCACAATTTTGTTACAGTCACTAACTACATGCGTTGTAAATTACTTTGCAGGTTGCTTTCCCCGTTCTGGAGGATTTGGAAATTCTGGAATTGCCTAACATAATAGAGATATGGGACAAGCAATTAGTCATAGCCTCAGAAAAAGAATCAAAGTCCCTCTACCAACTGAAATATATGAACGTTTCTAATTGTGAGAAATTGGTACATGTGGTTCAGTTCAATATGCTCTCACGACCGCAAAATCTTGAAACATTCAACGTAGATCATTGTCCAAAGATGAAAGCGATAGTCTCGGAGAAAGGAAAAGAAGAAGGAACCACCAGTAATGATATCATCGTGTTCTCTCAATTAACAACTCTTAATTTGTCTCAGTTGGTGAGCCTTAAAAGTTTCTACAACTGGCCTACAAGATCTGAAGTACAACCGTTGTTCAACCACAAGGTTTGATTTTCCTAATTTATTTTATTAACCCTGGCCATGGGAAACCACACACAAAAAAAATAAAAATAAAATTCCATTTCAAATACAATTTTAAATTTGAAGTTTATTTGAATATTCTCTTTCTATCCAAATCCAAATAAAAGTAAAATAATTTCATAGTGGATATGCTAGGGGCCTAAGATGGAAATTACAATATTACCCAAACAAAAATATGTATGAATTTTAAATTCAACACAAGTTTATTTTTATTTTTATTTTGAATATGAATATTAATGTGATTTTATTCGACCAAAATATATATAAGTTTGTCTTCTTTACCAATTCAACCAAACCAAAACGAGTTTTAATCGAACGGAGTTGAAGCAATTTGGTATTTTATTTCCCATTTAAGCTTATAGAACTGAGTTCGAACTGAACTCAAAAAATCGGCGAATTTCAAAATGTGTTCAATTTTAACTTCTTTATATAATAAGTCATTCTTGAATTGTTTTTTATTGAGCCGAATATAAATCGAGTTCAAATAATTTGATTTGTTTTTCCATCTTCACGTAAATAGATATGCCAAGAAAATGAATATTATATTAAATATGAAATTATCAAAAGAAAAAATTATCAAGGCACCGTGGTGAATTTTTAAAATAAAATGTTCTTCTTTTTCATAAGTCCAAAACTCAAATCTACAACATAATTTGCCTTATCTAAAAAATAACTAATAAGATTATGGAACACAAATTATTAAAGTCAAATAGAAAAATAATTATGAAAGATGGAAAATAATGTGAAGAGAAGAAATCAAAAAGGTGCTCAGTTAATAATTAAGCAATAGAATAAATATTTCAAAAGAATATGGCGATATGAAATTATCAATTTGCTTGCCTACTGCTTCTCATTTCCGTTCATACACGTTTAAAGCAT